ATGCCTCCGAAGAAAAAAGGACTGAATGAACCAAATAAAAAGACCGAACAAAAAAAGAAAGAAAAGATAATAGAGGTAATTTTAGATATTTCCATGTTTTTAGATAATGCCTTTTTCCTACTGTCAGCTAACATCACTGATTTCTCATATGAACAGGACAAAACTTTTGGCTTGAAAAACAAGAAAGGCAAGAAGCAACAGACTTTCGTAAAACAAGTGACGCAGCAGGTAGACTTTTTTAAATGTATCTCTAATTTGCTCTGATATTGAATTTCTTTATGAATTTATTAACTAACTTGGTGCTTGTTTTCTCTCGTAAAGGTTAAATATGGCGGAAATCCTAGCGCCAGAAAGGTTCGTATATTATGTGCACTGTTTGCTAAAGTTGAGCATGTAACCTCCGATTGCTCCGAACGCTTAAAGTTAAAAATATTTCATCTGGTTAATTTTTGATCCATTTAAGCAGGACGTGATTAAATTTGATGTGTTGAAAAAGCTCTAAGGAACTGCGATTTGTTATCGTTGTAAGTCATGCACAATCCTACCCCCCCTCCTCCCTCCTCATAGGGCAATCTGTCCCAAGGGGAGGTACCCCATTAATGAGACCCAGTGCTGGTTTAATCACAAAGTACGAGACCACTTGTTCTTGGCCTTCGTGTTATGCTTCATTGTCTTGGTTCTATCATGTGGTTGGACTGACCAACGTTTGGTGGCAAATGATGAGTAAAACCAATTTCGGCCCTACTTTCTTCCCCCCTCAAAAAAAAAAAAAAAAAAAAAACAATTGGTCAAATTATAATGAAAGAAGTTGATTTAGTAGTCAAATGCCCTGTTACACAACACTTCAAATAAAACCAAACACTGTAATATGCTCATGTATTTCAACTGTGCATGCTGTAAACCATTTTTTTACCTTTTGAACAGTTTTGCTTTGAAGCTGCTTTTAAGGACTTATTTACCTTGATCATTAAATTCCTTTTGAAATCAAACACTGTATAACTCGGAAATTGTAACCAAGATCATAAAATTAACGTCACTTTTATATAATCACTTCTTTATCACAAAGTCTACAGGAATTGTTAGGTTTTATGGCATGAACTTATTTGTGCAAATCATCCATTTTGAACGTTAACTCTCTTGGTATTTTGTTATGTGTGTTGACAGTTTAGTCTATATGAATTTGTTATATTTATGTAAGTATTTGTTTTTTTCTAGCTTGCTCAAGAACAAGATAACAAGGTAAAATAATATCCGTTGTCAGTGGGGGGGATGAAGGCTATCAAGATTCTAATGTACTGTATGTGATATGGTTAAATATTGTTCTTTCTTGCAGACAGTCCATTCACTGTAGTTAGAATCTTTTGTAAGCAACCACCTGATCTTGGCACTTTTCAGCTGGTCATGTACCGGAGTAAAAAAATACAGTAAAAACAGCAGCTAAAAGCTCAAGAATTGTGATAGTCATGCTTGATCTCATAACCATGGTATTGACAAAGGCAGTTATCACATTAGAGAGTTATTGGAATCCTGCGTGGCAGACCACAATCACACCAAATGCGGGCAAAAATGCTTGTGATCTCAAAAAAACCCCATAGCATTCTTTTGAACCAAAAATTTTCAATGTGGTTTCCATTTTTTTAATTTAGTTGTGATTTTATTCCACTGTATTCTGGTTATTTTATCACTCAACTTTTTTTAATTATTTTATCTTTAAATTAATTCACCCTTTGAATATAGCCTGCTTAGCTGGCTGTTTGTTTTTGGTTTTTTTTTTGGTGTGTTTTTTCTTTTGCGGTTCATAAAGAGATCAGATTCCGCCACACAAAAGCTGAACTGAGAACAACAAAGGAAACGATGGGGGAGGGGGCAAGGGGAGAAGGCTGGGAGAAAAACCACCTGCAGTCAACCCCTCGAGATTTTGAAATGCCCCATCCAGTCTTGTGAAAGGAGAAGCTTGGCTTACACATGATATGATGTGTCTTGAAGTCAGACGTCAGCCAGCAAACTGTTGTGCCAAAGATTTGTTGGTTATGACTATCTATAAATTTTTTTGTTGTTGTTTATCAAAGCTCTCTGCTCACTATTTAAGGAATAGTTTTGTATTTCGGAATTGTATTGTTGGATTGTTTCACCATCAAAGAAAAATATTGATTTTTTTACGAAAGTGTCATTTGTTGATTACTGACACTTGTAGGACAAAAGCAAAAGTTCACATACAAAGCTACTGTTGGCTTTACTTCAGTTTTTGCTATGATGAAATGGGCAAGGTATTTGGAGAATTTGTAGCCTAGGATTGGGGGATTGGATCAGTTTTGCATTTTTGTAGCAGGATCCCCCTGAGGAATTATTGTAAAACACTCAGCAAAAAAAGGACTGGGAGGGAGAATAGACCAAACTGTTCGAGATCAGATGGCAGGAATCCCTTCAATCAGCTGTGCTTAAAAGTGGACTAGGTCATGGGAAGGGACATTGGAATTTTGCATACACAGGGACTTAGGACTTGGGGAACCAACAAGAGGAACTGACATGAAGTATTGGACTATGAGACATGTGGGGATGCAAAATACCAGAAATGTCTCAGTTTCTGGAAAAGTCTGGGTTGATCACTTAATGTTTTCCTTCTTTTTTTTTTTCTTCAAGTCTTTCAAGTAAAATGTGTTTGTTTTTTTGGTTTTGGTAGAAAAAAACAGTGGAACAGAAGAAGAAAGAGCAAGATGACATGAACCAGCTGTTTAAGCCAGTCATTGGACAGAAAGTGTCAGCAGGTACGCTATGTGCAAAGGGCTGTCAAAGCTGGCACACACCAAGTGACTGGTTGAGGTGACCTGCTGTCACAGTGAACAGTGGTTAAAGAGACTTATTTCTTTCTTTTGCTACTGTTTTCTGTGGGATCACAGTGTTCAGTCTCTTTGAACATCAAAATTAATGTGTATAAAACAACAGGGTGGATTTACCCATTGTGTTTAAGGCATGTTATAACATAGCGTGCGTGCCCTATATAATTCCCATTGAGCCGCTATGAACAAATTCTTTATTTCAGGGCTTCTGATATTTCGCGGAAAAAAAAGCAAAATTTCGCGGGATTTTCAGGGGCAAATTCGCAGAAAAATCGGCCAATTTCGCAGGAGAAAAGTCAAAATTTGCCGGAAAATCGTTCAATTTCGCGGGATTTTAGCAGAAAAAAGTCAAATTTCGAAGGATTTTCAGGGGCAAATTCTTAGAAAAATCGGCCGATTTCACGGGAAATTTCGGGGGGGAAACTTCGCCAAGAAACAATCAGTAAAAAACAGCCGATTTTGCTGGATTTTTTTTGGCAAATTTCGCTAAAATCGATCAATTCTGTGTCGATATGACCAGCATTGTTTAACGTTTTTTTAACAGGGATAATCATTTGCTCTTTCAACAACAGTTTCCTGGAGAAATGAGCGAATGCTAAAGCCATTAACACTATGGTTAGTGCCCAGTTTTTCGCAACATTAATCTAAGAACGCCTGGTAGTTTTGGGACGTTGTTTACTCATTGCAGTGACGAAGTTTCAAGATAAATTTGGACATTTGGGGTGAATAAGACAGGTCTATTGGCCAAGATAAGTATTAAATATGTTTTGCCGACAAGTATTTGGAAATATTTCTTGCGGATTTCGCGGTATTTCGCTTTTTTGGGGGAATTTCGCGAGATTTCGCGGAAATACCTGAATTTCGCGGATCCGCGACCGCGCATAATATCAGAAGCCCTGTTATTTACGCATGCCCATGTGTAAATAACGATTTTAATCTTGATGATGTGTTCAGCTGTTTTTCGTCTCTTTTCCTAAGTACCCAAAAATCGACATCAGTGATGAAAAACTTTCTAGATTTTTTTTGGCATTTAGTTTCGTTCTAGCCAGTCAAACCAACAGCAGAAGCGTTGAAGATGTTTCGCAAATAATAGAACCTGAATGATTCGTTGAAGAGTCTGCCCTAATGACTGACATTTAAGGAGGAAAAGTCCAGAAATTGGTCTTTGTCCGAAAATATTCAATTTGTATAGTGCCCTCCATTTTTAACGTTTGGTTATCATTTACAAAACAAGTTAATTATAAAGTCAGCTCAATAGCAAAAAATTATGCACTTTTGATATCGCCGAACAATCCAACTGAAGCAGGAAAATTTCTCTTGCAATAACAAGACAAATTACACATTAGAGGACAAATTTATTACTCACAAAAACAACTGCTGCCAGGTCTTCTCAAGAAGCCATAATGACCAGCCAAAGTTGGTAAATGAATGTAAGTTTAACGAAGGATGACAGTCATCTTCAGTAAAAAATATGTTTTCTGGATTTTGCCAAGCTAAACGTAAACATCTTTCAGCAAATCCAAACCATACTCCACGACTTCTTAAGAACATGTGAGTATTTTAACTTTAAGTGAACTTTAAGACTCTTTTACCTTTGTTTCTGCTTAGTTTCCATTGTTCGTTAACAAATAAATAAGCAAATATTATTTTCTTTCTCAGTTTTACAGAAAGAATTTTCATTCAAACTAGACGATTGTGGCGTGTTTGTACACAGCCAATAGAAGCGTTTGTTATTGTGCCACAAGTTAGGAGAATTTTGCAGTTAATCAAAAAGCAAGCATTTTTGTTAGCTATGTTAAAAGAATTTGCTCATGCTTTTAGCTGTGCGTATATCGAGTTATGGATGCACTTGGGAAGTTCCATAACTTGATATACGCACACGAAGCATGAACAAATTCTTAATTTTAATTAGAGGTAGTCAGGTCTACAGGCAAGCAACATTTGCCAAGATTAAGTAAATTGCAGTGAAAACAGGAGTTGGTAGACCTGCTTAACTGTTACGGGCTAGTAAACTTCAGCAACAGTTTGCAACAAAGGGTGAACAATTCATCTATTTTCATCTCACCCTGCAAAGAGATTCTGACAATAAATTGCAACTGATTAGCACTTTGTCAAATTTTAGACCAGTTTGAATTTGTGTCCTTGATAAAGCACTACTCTATTCCATTCCTGATGAAGAAAATAATGTTGTTCAATCTATTTTGTACTCAGGGGCCGATCCAAAGTCTGTGGTCTGTGCATTTTTTAAGCAAGGCCAGTGCTCCAAGGGCGATAAATGCAAGTTTTCACACAACATTGCTTTGGACAGAAAAGGAGAAAAGAGGAGTATTTATGTTGATGCCAGGGATGCTGATGAAGATCTTAAAAATGGTAAACATTGTTCAAGAACATAACTTCATTATGAAAAAACAACAACAACAAAAGATTATGGCTATAGAAGATCGCAAGAAAGAGGAATCAACAAGCACTACCTAATCATCTAAAAATTACACGTGTCAAAAAATTGTGAATTTTTACATGCATGACACCTAAAGTCATGAAATTTGACCCCACCCCAGTAATACAGCCCCATTTAATATGGCAATTTTTTTTTGCCCCATTAGTTACTGTACTAACGGGATTTTTTCTTAAAACAGATACAATGGATAAATGGGACCAGAGCAAATTGGAAGAGGTTATTGAAAAGAAACATGGCGAAAAGGAGAAATCCATGCCTAAAACAGAAATTGTAAGTTCTTTATTGTGACATGGTAGCAATTAGTAGATGCAAATGCACCCCTATAATCCACTTGAGTTATAAGTGAGTACACATAACAAATCTTATTGTATTGGTTAAAATACCTTAACTCACATAGATAAGTAAAGTATGATGTTTTTTGAGTGTTTATTTCTGACTGTCGTAATAAACTATGCATTCCAATGAAATTCTCAGTATAAGCTTATTACAATTTTTTCAAAGCAGGGTTGTAACAAGTAGCTGGCTGCCAGGGAAAATCGCTGCCTATTGGTTAATATCTGCTTGCTACTCTGCTGCCATTTCTTTACAAATGCCTTTTTTAAATGAAATATCCCTGGACTGGCGGCTTAGATCAACAACTCAGCTGTCTACTTCAAAACTTTCTGACAACCCTGCAAAGGCCTGTTTATTAAGGGCTATAGTAATTTGTGACAGTGTGCATGTATTTGCACTGTCCCTCTGAGAACAACCACATAGTAAAATAAAGACAATCAAAGAGAAATGCCAAAGAAAGTTTAGCTAGCAGTTTTTTTCTGGAGTAAGTCTCAGTTGTGTTCATAATGTACATATAATGTAAGCATTATGCATGTTACTGAGTTTGACTATCTCAAGTGGCCTTCAATAGTGGATGTTCAGCTTGTGCTGAATCACTTAACAAATGGCATTTCAGGTCCATCTTCATCATATTGCATCCTGATCGAGTGTTATAATGTCAATGTAAATTCTATAACATCATATTTTTCAATGCTTATACATGCCATTTGAAACTTACTCAAAAAAATGGAAGGAATGCAGATGTGTTTCACACTTTCTGCATCTCTACTGGAAAAAGGAGTATGATGACCTCCACTTTTATTTCAAGATTTTCAGACAAAAAGTTCTTCCTTTCAATGAGAAAAGTTCTTAATAAAAAACCATTGTTCATTTTTATGGCAATTTTGCTTAATGGTACAGATTGAGCTATAACAAATCAGATAGTGTCCTTCCAATTAAGTCTACTGTGGGGTATAAAGTAAAAGGAAAGGTATTTGAAAGCATTAAAGAGGGAAGGGTACAGGCTGTCTGAAAACATTAAGATGCTGGCTTGGGTTTCAATAAGCACTGACGACTGACTAGTTTCATCAGTTATTTTGCTCAGGCAACTACTTTTCTTTAGCTACTTTTCTCCCCGAAAGGAGAAGCAACTAGTGCTTACAATGTCGTAAACAAAAAACGTATAATGAAAACATAAAGGCCCACTGGTTTTGAGTTACATGTATGCCTTAGTTATGTAAACGCTGTATTTCAGTCAATTCTTCACACATTTCAGAGGAGGTTTACACAGAATTTGTTCTTGTTCAAATGTACGTTTGTTCAAATTGCCTGTAATTTGTGTGTCTGATAAATCAGAACCTGAAATGAAAGCTACATTTTCTTGAATGAAAAACACTCTTTTGTACTCAATTTAGTACCCAGAATGCTGGAAATCACATTTTAGGGCTTTGAAATTTCCAAGTTTTCTGAGAGAGCATGCCCCAAGACTCGTCTAGAGGCACAAGGTTGACGGCCCCTGGTTGATACAGTCAGGTACTCTATTCAAACCTGCTGGATACTTCAATTATTATTGAAACCCCCTGGGCTGGAAGGAAGGGACAGCCATTATTATTGCCGAAGATCAATACATATTAAAGAAGTCCTGGTTCACTATACACACACATATGTACAAATAAAGAGAAACAATAATACTGGCATTCTTAGGTATTAATTGTTAATAACTAAGGATGCCAGTATTGTCTTGAATACAGTTAAAACAGAAGGCCCGAAAAACTAATTTGTTTCAGCTTTTTTTAAAATGTTTACAATGAAAAAGCTTTATGTCATCTGTTAAATCAAAATAATGTTTAAAACTTTTATTACCCTAGAGAAAGCTTATGCTGAATATTCTCTGCGGGAGGATAAAACAAATATGGCCAAGTTTTACCTTAAAGGCCATCAAAATGACCAGTAGCTTAAAGTTTTTGATGTCACTGCCACACATGATGGTGCAGAGGTGAGAGCTCTTACCTCCCACCAATGTGGCCCGGGTTCAAATCCCGGCGTCAATGCCATATGTGGCTTGAGTTTGTTTTGGTTCTTTCCTTTGCTCCGGGATGTTTTTCTCCAGGTACTCTCGTTTTCCCCTCTCCTCAAAAACCAACATTTTCAAATTCCAATTCAACCAGGAATCAGGTAGACAAAGAACCACTTTGTGAAAGTGCTACCTCTAAATCATGACTTTTCTAAAAAAATTAATTTTATAAGAAAGGTAAAGAGAATTAAGCAAAATAAGACATTTATTTTATCCTTAACTTTGGTCATTATATTTTTAAATAATATATTAGAACATACGCCAAGATGAAGAATAAATGTCTCGATTTTTTTTGTCAAACTTAATGCTCTTCATTGATGCCATAATTCTTGGAGAGTATGGAGAATAAACTCTTCTTATGTATTAAAATGGTTGAGTCAAGGGGTGACACAGCCACAGTAACAAGCATTATAAGCTGCAAGGAATAATGCACATTTTTCCTTCAGGTCTGCAAGTATTTCTTGGAGGCTGTAGAAAAAGGACTCTATGGTTGGTTCTGGAGTTGCCCTAATGGCCCTAAGTGTATATACAGACATGCACTGCCCCCTGGATTTGTGTTAAAAAAGAAGCAGGAAAAAGAATCCAAAGAACAGATCTCATTTGAAGAGTTTATAGAAACAGAGGTATGGACCACTTTACAATGTACAGTAGTAATGAAGTATTAATGAATGGATGAAGTTTTTGTGATATCCAGAATATTTTTCAAGGTTGAGGTAAGTGTTGTATCAGATGAGCTGAAAGTCAACACTGATAACACTCATCGAGACCTTGATTATTCTGGATATCTCAAAAACTTAGTCCTATATTTTTCACTTCAGTGTCCTTGGCTAGGGGTTAATATTTATATTACTAAAACAGTGAGATAATTGAGCACAAAAATGATAGTTTTTAACTCATTCACTGCTGCCAATTATTGCAAGTTTGGCATGCGAATTTGGTTCCACTGATTTCCAAATAGCTGTAAGCGCTTAGCCAATGAGAAGACAGACTGTATAATCATTAATGATAATATTATTATTGTGTGTGAGTAGATAAATACAGTTCAGGCTATAACTTCTTCATATTCCAAGTTATTTGTGTCTTAACTGATTTGAGATGTCTTGCATATGGTGGTCTTAATGCATAATATTGTGATGTCTCAGGACTTTAGGCCTGCAGACCTGTCAACTTAAGAGAGGCCACTCATTATTGAGAGTCCTGTGGCTGTTTTTTCTCTATAGTAACTGCTATGAAGCAGTGCCAAGAACCTTGTCGTTGTTCTGGTCCCCGAATCACTGAAAATGGGTTTAGAAGTTCTGTTCAACCTGATTGGCATGTCAACAATGTCATTTGAACAAGCCAATCATGGTGCACATTCAAATCATGGTTACACAGCTGGGGGCCGGGAACAGGGAGTTTGTTAGTGACTTGTAGACAGACTTAACCAAAGGTTTAGTTTGGTCAGTGGCTCAGGCTCATTTGATAATCTGGTCTCTGCCTGTGGAGATGTTACTTTTGATTTACATTCCTTGCATTTCCTTTTATAGAGAGCAAAGCTTGGTGGAAACCTGACTAAGTTGACATTAGAAACATTCTTAGAGTGGAAGAAAAGAAAAGTGAGTACAGTGATAATTAATTGTTATATATTATAACAAACAGTCAGGGTTCGCACAGTCTTGAAAAGTACTTGAATTTTAGGGGAAGTCCTTGAAAAGTCCTTGAATTTTCTTCAACTTTGAATGTAGTGACCTGGAAAGTGTTTTTTGATGCTTTTTGATTGCCCAAGACAAAATATGAATCATAGCTCAGAGAATTTAAAGGTTATTTACACAAAGTACTCAATGTTTTATACGATAATGAACTATCAATTTAACACAAGTGAACTGCAAAATGTGGAAAAGTTGGTGAAGCAAACAGTTCAAGCCTTAAAGCTGTATTAGGAATAGACTGGGAATGTGCATTTTTGTAGAATTTGTGAAATCATATTCCTAGTAGGTGGTACTTGAAAATCTAATGTGGATTATGTGGTCGTTGAAAATTCCTTGAAAAGTCCTTGAAAAATGGTTGCAATTTTTTGTATGAACCCTGACAGTAGTTTGTGTTCTAGCCCAATATTTCCTATTGATTCACCATCAATTTGTAACTGTACATAATATTGTTATGCAAGGCCATGTGTATAGAAGTTAACGTTGTCATGAATTATGTGATAATTTGACTCCCATTTCTGTTCCTTGCCTTTGGTAATGTCACTTAGCAATGTAAGAAAATATCAAAGAACCTTTCAACATTGTTGAAATTGAAGACCTAGCCTCAGATGAAGAGCAAAGGCAGCAAAACAAACTAGTTTAATCAATCACAAATAAAACTTTTAATGACCATGTTATGAAAGAAATGGCTCGTGCTTTAAGTTTAGGATTTCCAAACTCAATTGCGATGCCTTTATTGCTCCTATTTCAGCTGGTGATGTACTTGATTAACCAACCAGTATTAAATGTAAAAGCCATATTACCTTCGTGTAACATAAAAACCTACTGAAATATTGCTGTCTTTAAGAAGCGGGGGCCAGTGATTTCCCCCAGCTACTATGAACATGGCCCCCTGCTACTTTCATAGGAAAATAGAAGAAAAATAGAACCAAAAGAAATCACTATTTGTTTAATTCCCTGCTTACTTGTGGCATTTACCCGGCAACTTGAATCTTAGTGACATCCCTGTGAAAAATATTTTCAGATTTTTTACTCCCTCTTTCCTTTTTAAGTGAATGTTGAAGTGGAATAATTACATGGTTTCTAATCTGTATCCTTTTCAGTTAAAAGAAAAGAAAGAAAAATTCGAAACGGAGCAGGCAAAGAAAAAGGAGGATTTTAAATCTGGAAGAATTGTTGGAAAGGTGTGTGTGAATGCAGCATATAATTATTAACAGTTTACAGCATACAATGTATACAGCAGTGTTATTGTTCACCATGTATCCATCCATAATGGATATGATACAGGTCAAAATTAAATTCATGTTAAAATGATGTTCATGTTCCAAATTTCCTTTGTCTCCTAGCCCTAATTATTCGCAAATTAGGGCTAGGAGACAAAAGAAATTGGTTGCGGCCGCACTAGGGGACTTAACCGAGTTATTTGCAATTAACTAATTAAAGTTAACACGTTTAAAAGTAACTGCGGTTCGGCCGGGTTTTCTACAGTCTTAACTGAGTTCTTACAGGGATATGCAAATCAGGCAACGACAATAGATTTTCTTAACCAGGTTAGGTTTTTTAAAACCACCTCGTGAGGTAGTTTAACGCAGGTTAACGTTATCTATCAGTCGATTATCTCTGCCTAGTCGTGGGAATGGCCCAAATTTTGGCATTACCATGCACGCAAGCACAACAGTTTGGAAAATTACATCTTTCGCTCCAAGTTCGGCTTTTCTTTCTTAAGGCAATGGAGTCAAGACTTTTAAGAAGTGGACCTCTTTTTATCAGTAATATACGGGGTCAAATTTTGTCAGCCACTCTAAGGCGAGTGTTATGAGCGACCCAAACGAGCTATAAAACAAAAACCGCGCGACATTGAATGACTTTGTGAAAGTCTAAATTGAGTCCGGCCGCTGAAAACAATTAACGCGGTAAAACTCTTTTAACCAGGCCACGTTCTGAAAAGTTCCTTACCGGGTTTCTCAAGAAGTAACGCGGTTAACTTGCCAAGTGCGGCGGCAGCCAATTGAGAATCAAGCTAGGTTAAAAAATTTTAAGCTCAAGATAATTTTGACATGTAACATATACAACAGTGTTCAAAAGTGCTTTTCTAATCCTGTTGTGATCATCTTCGTGATATACAGGTCAGTGGACGAGAGGTGTTTATGTTTAAACCTGAGCTGGTGGAAGCTGATGCTGATGATGATGAAGCCACAGAAGATATCAGTATATACAGACGAGTACATGATGTGAGTTAAGAGTAATACATGCAATCCATAGATTGAGAAATAAAGCAGCCATACAAGTGTATTACCACCTTTGCTCTAAATTGTGTACGATTTCATTGGAGGTTAATACGTACATCTCCACATAAGTAAATTAGTTTAATCAGAGTGAACAATTTAGTCTCCAGGCCCCGATTGTTCAAACGCTGTATAGCACTATCCGTCAAATAAATTATACTTTTCAGCTTATAAATGTTGCTGAAACCAATTGCGTGATACACTAGATAGTGATTTATCCAGTGGGTAGCGCCATCAACCTTCTGGCCCCGGTTCTTCAAACGTTGGATAGCGCTATCCACCGGATAAAACTCTATCTAGTGGATAACGCAATCGCCAATTGGTTTCCCTAAGACTTATCCACTGGATAGTGATTTATCCGGTGGATAGCGGTATCCAACGTTTGAACAACCAGGGCCAGAACAACTGGGGCCAGAATGCTAATGTGCATTTGTACTGTCAGCAGTTTATATGAGAATTCTGTGAAAACTCACAATGAAATTGCTCATGTTGGTATAATTTATTTTATGTCCTTTTGGAAGGATGATGAAGACACAAGAACCACAGCAAAAGAAATCACATTAGAAGAAATGCACAGTGCTGCGGTTGAAGTTGATGGTACTGGCACAGTCGATCAATCAAGTAGTGCCGCCGAGAGATTACAACATAATCAAACTACAAGTTCAACTGTCGAAAATTCACATGAACAGGTACATTGAGACTACATTAGACACACCCTCCTTCTCCTCTCCCATAGCCCTCATCGTTGTATAAAAATTCCAGTCATGCTATTCGATTGTCCTTTTTAAATTGAGGCAAATACAATGCCAGATACAAGGGGTTTCAAATTCTTGTCACTATCGTCAAGAACTGTTGCTCATTTTTGACAAACTATATCAAGCACTTAAGACGACCTTTCGTCCGATTATGCCACCGGTGCTGTGGTAGTTGGTGATGAGCCAAGGTATGGTTTTGATATTGAAGTCTTTAAACCATTTTAGTTTTAATCTTAGATTTTACACGTTATCACTCAGTTTACCGTGTTCGTATCAGTTCAATTTCCGTCACCAAACCAGTAGAACCTTGTTTAAGGTGGCTGAGCGCAGTTTTGGCAGTTTGTGAGTGTATTCATTTGCCAGATCATGGCAAGGGAAAGGTTGCAGCCCACAAGCTAAAACTTGGCAAGTGAAAAATATACTGATGAAAGATTTTGATTGACAGGTAAAATTTGACGTTTTCGTAGTTTCCATGGCAACATGAACGATTGAATACAACCTTAAAATTCCACTTTTGCTCAGTTTACATAAAATTCGCTCATTAGATTTTCCTATGAACTTGCACACAGCTTACTATAGTTAATCATTACCATTTGAAACTTATTTGACCAAATTTTAACAGACGGGTTTTTAGATAATCAATAATATAATTGTAGTTTAATTATTAAATGTATCACAAAATTTGCTTGTTCAACTTCCATTTTAAAGTTGTCATTATTTAAAACACGATGAAAGTAAAAATTCTGCCAAATATCAGAAAATCTTGAGAAACCGTCTTTTGTGTACCACTGTTTTTTCGCTGCCATGTTTGTTTGTCTAATTTAAAACACGCTACGTCACGCGAGTTACCGCTGACCACCCACAAAACTGTGTTCAGTCGCCTTACTTATCTGATTCGTGTTGCCTGTGTGAAGTTACAGTCCTGAACAGGTTGTATGCCCCACAAGGCAGAAAGATCAAGTTAGTTACTTTGTAATTGCAACTGTTATTCGCAGTTGTATAATCTGTCATTTTATACTTCAGACCCCAAACACAAAAGACGCCGATGAAAATGGTCTGGACGAAGCCTGCGGAGGAGTCAGTGTACCTGACGAAGATACAGAGGACGCTTTAGTAAATGGTATACCTATCGAAGAAAGTCTTTTTGAAGATGACATCGACGACTTAGAACTTGAAGATCTCGAAATTGTTGATTAACCTCAGTAACTGCTAAATGAAATTTGTTTTACTGGTGGGAGTCAGTCAAAAAATGAATGGCGCTGCAACATCAGTCCGGTAATGTTCAAGAGAACGGAATGGTCACATGCGCAGAGCCGCGTAAGAGGTGTGGCCTTGACTGCTAGTTTGTTGCCATATATACAGTGAGAACATTGACTAAAGTAATAAATCCTTACACTGTGGTATTATTTACACAGTGTTGAAAGTGATGAGATATTCGTATGACGTAATGAGGTCATATGAAGAAAATAGGTCTGAAGCTTTTGTTGTTGCAACATGTTACACTCCAAGGTTGAGACGCTCTTCTCATTTACCAACCAGTGTACCTTTCTGAAATCTTACGTGTACTTGAGCCTTTAGCAAACCAAAACAAAAAGGGGACAGGCCCCTCGGATTGCAGCAGTCTTGCAAGCGATAAATTGCATACATATCAAAGCGGAGTTACTCCATAATACTTGCAAATAGATTTTTACGTGGGTTTACTCGCCAACTGAACGAACTCCCCAATAAAGCGTTGACAAGTAATGGCTTTAAGGAAGATCGAAAGACCCCCACAACCTGTTTGTATCTGAGAGATACCTATGAGCTGGATCCTAACGTTTCACACTATATTCACAGCGAGGATGGGCTCTTTCGAGGTACGGGCAGCAGCAAAATTAAAAGATTTTATTTCCTTGTTAGTGAACGGGCTCCTTGGGGGAAGGGTTCGAAAGAGGAGGGGTGTAGGAGACTTTCCCTTTATTTGCTCCTTCTCTTTCGTTACCAGTCTACTCAAAGAACCTGTTTACTTGATTCCACCCACCCACTATGAATTAATCGAGATGGCCACCCGTCAAGTTAAAAGAATGAAGAACACGTTAATTACATCAGATTTTTTAATTTTCTATATGAATAGACGCAATAGCTGGCAATAAATTCTCTAAGGAAAATAAATGTCTTACTTTGTCTTAAATTTTCTCCAGTCTTCTATACATTCAACAGTTAGTTATCATCACTGTAGGAATAAGTAACGAATGACTCTCTTCTCGCTCCCTCTCTTCCTCGCTACTCTTCACTAAGTCTTCATTCTCCGACTTAAGCGGCATGTTTCCATTGCTGTCGTTCGAAATGCTACCGCGAACGTTTTTTTTGTGAGATGAAAAACTATTTCCTTCAAGGAAGACTTCCCTCGCGGACGCTCGGCGTGCGAGGATTTTGTCCATTCCATGGGGGCTTTCTAACGTTGAACGAAGATTGTCCGTAGAGTTATTCTCGAAACTAATGCTTATTATAGAATCAGATTCTTCCCTTTGCTGTCTTAAGCTGTAATTTCTCTTGTGAGTCAAGGGAATAGACAAGAAACTGCACGAAGAACACGAGGGGCTGTTCTTTGGCGAGCGCGCTTGTTGGCGAATGTTAATATTACTTCTAACACTCCCGTTGTGACTTCTACAGCTATCTCCACGATACTCTGAGAAAGTGCAGTTTTCTTTCGTTGACACGGAAGGGGTTTGGTTTGGAGATCGCATAGAGCTGAGGCTTATTCTGCTTTCGGTGGTTATTCGGGACGCATTCGGGAGAGGGTCGAGCTGATCCCGAATCCTGTTGCGAAGAGTTTTAATAGCCGAGCTACAAATTCCTAGACGCTCTATGATTTCCAAGGCATCTAGCTGAAAGTGTTTTGTGCCTATGGCGTAGAGATAAGGGTTCGTAAAAGAATTAATTGGATAAACGAAAACGAGGAAGAATTGGGCCGCTGGAATTCCAATAAGGGTTGTACCATATATGGCGATGAGACTTACAAGTGCTATTGGAAACCAACAAGCAAAGTTTGTAATCACAAGCATCGCCATTCGCTTGGCAACTCGTCTTTCTACACGGTTTATACTATCACCAGTTCCCGCTCCTCCAAGACTGCAGTACATTCGACCATAACAAAATAGCACAAAGAAGAACGCCAAACCATTGGTTGCTAGCAGGAAAGTGACATACGCTTTGGAACCTGTGCTTTCTACCTCAAAAGGAAGGCATATGGCGACCTTCTGATAGCTGCTTACTCCGTACGGTAGAAGGGGTAGAACAGCCATTGTTAAAGAAAACACCCATCCTAAAACCATTAGCGTTATGATCTGATTGGTTCTTAAGTGTTTGTTCCGTTTCAAAGGATGCACTATGGTGAAGTATCTCTCGACCGTGATGACTGTTAGAACAAAAACTGACAGCTCTGTGGAAAAGATTGACAAGAAACCCGCAATCCTGCACCCATGTCTGTACTGCCATCGAACAGCAAAATTTTGATACATTCCCAGCGAGTAGAGATCAGCGCTGGCTAACATGCACAGAAACAGACCCATGCAGAGATTTGCCATCGCTAAGTTGCACATCAAAATCTTAGCGATGGTAATCTTACGCTTGCTCATGACAAGAACAAACATTTTTATCGAGTTTCCAAACAGGGCTAATATCAGCACGATCCACGAGCACACGCGTAGAGCGTCAGAACCCAGTAAATCACCGCACGGGTTAAACGCATCTGCTTCAGGCTTGCAAATCACTGTTTTCCTATGTGCTCGTGGCGGCTGCGTGATCACTGGCGCACCAGGGTCCACGCAACCATTCGGATTTAATGTCAGCACTGGTATCCCTGTGTTGCCGACTGGCACGTGCGAAGGGTCCGTTGTTGTTGTTAAAGGAGGGCTGGTAGATGATATACTGATAGTTGTTACACTAGTTGTTGTTTGGGGGCAATATCGTACACTGGTATTTGGCGAATTGGGCGGTTTAGTGCCAATATCTCCTATGTTGGGCCAATAAGCGTGGATTAGACAGCAGTGAAATGGATACTCCACTGTAGCATTCATAAGGCTCTTAAAAGAAACAATCGGGATTTCCCACAAGTTTTTCACTCCCTCTATGGAGAAATCTTCAAGGCTCTCTAGGTTCTCGCCAGGAAGATAAGAGATCTTTGTCCATGATAGGTCTCTGCAAAACCATAAAAGATGGTCATTAGTGACATACGTCATCGCCGACTACCCTGCTAGCAGAGTCGCTTCGATATTTCCTAGATGAGTCGACTTATCTAGGAAGATCGAAGGAGACTCTGTTCGCAGGGTAATCCCCGACGTAACCACTCGAACTAAATCTAACCTAACCATGCAGGGACCCGTTTCATGTCCCGGTAACTTAACTGACCCAAAATCAAATCAACGTCTAAACAAAAAATCTTAGAAAAAAATGAAATCAAACTCTGAAGAATAAAAGTGTGTAGCTAACAAGCCAGTCCATTATATTTTGTTAATTGATTTGTTTATCATCTCCTTAACTTTTGAACCTATATCTTGAACGAAAACAAAAAATGCTTTCAGGGCCTGCTAATAACTCAGACTGAGACAAGAAACGGGCCACAGACCCGATCACGGAATTAACCATTTGGCGACCGCTAGCTAGTGGCAACAAGACCGCATTTTTTTTTTTCACATCTTCCTTTATAGGCTGGGTTTTGGCCAATAAGCATGAAAATCACTATGAATGAGATAAGAAGCATGTTAAGTGGGTTTAGAAAGGAACAAAAACGACCGAAAGGTCGTTGTCAAAAGTTTTAAAATTTCGGTTGAGTAAGTTAAGTCAAACTTATTCGAGCCAATAATACTTACAAGACTGTCAGTTCAGTTCCTTGGAAAGCTTTTGGTTGTATTGTTTCAAGTTCACTTCTCCGTAAAGATCTGTAAGCAAAAAAAGTACTTGATTTTATCATTTGAACTTGTAGTCGAGTTTCACAATCAACTATATGAGCAGAGAAAAAAAAGCATTTTGGCTGATCACTGCGTTTGTGAACACGGCGGAGTACTGAAGAAGATTTGACTACTGCATCTTTCTCCCAACAGTAAAAGCCCATGTTACAACCCGCTAAAAGATGCTATTTTTTGCCCTAATTGTGGAATTCGCCAATAAGGAACACCTTCTGGAAGTAAGCTGTGGGATACGGTTGGGTGCATTACAAAGTCAACGGCAACTAACGACAAGTAAAAGTAATTTTTTTGGTCACGTGGTTCAAATTGACATCTGCAGTAAACACGATTCTAATTCTCGTCGATTACACCACTGTTAGTTATTTTCATTGTCTGCTTCAGTAGTGACACATTTAACAATTATTGGCATGGACGAGGTTGAGAAAAATATCGTGATTTGTCTGTGGGGAGCAGATCAATTATTTGCCTCAGGCTTCGGCTTCGGCAAATAATTGATCTGCGAGACACTGACAACACGATATTTTGCGATAACCGACTTCAATAATTGTTTTATCATTCGATCAACGAGTTTGTTCTTTTTTTTCATGAATATCCTTGGGAAGCGAAGCGATCTGCCATTTTCACGCAAGAGCGATAGCAAGAAGGAGAAAAGCATGGTTTCCTTTACGCATGTGTAGAATATTATTTGCAGCCAAACACTTAAGTCAAACAGTTGGACGGCATTGCGCATGAGCAGACCATTATCTGTAGGCAGTTATTTGTAGGTCACGTGGTGGGCTCTCGGGCAATGAAAATAAAGAAAAATTTGCTTCGAGTGATAATTAGATTGAATCGCAACTACCAGTCTTAAAACTCAGTTCATCTTCCGGCACTAACTAACCACTTATCACACCACTCAGTCATTGCATACTATCTCTTACAGCTCAGACTGTTCTGACCGGCGCTTTACTTAAATTTTAGATTCCTAGATACTTCACGGCATCGGCGTGTAATTAAAATTTGAAAGTTGTGCAATATAGTGATTGCTTACAATCGCCGAAGTTTCGTGTTATTCCAGAAAACCATGTTCGGTAACTCTTGGATCTCTGTTTTCCTAAGCAATCTGCAAAAATGACATGAAATACTCGTAAATAGTTTTGGGGAACAATGATTACTTTCAGGAAAATGAAACCTCTATTATGACATATGCTATTAACTGCCTGGAATTCAATCTATTCTCGGTCTAAAGTTCCCGTGTATTGATTTTTCAATCGCCTGATGTAAGGGGAATCTGAATTCCGGAAAAATCATTTTGCTTACAGTCAGTTACTTACAGTGATTCGAGTTCCGTGTACTTTGCTATCGTTCTTGGATCTATCTTCTTTATTGGATTGAAAGAGATTTCCCTAAAAGAGATTTAAAACTGTTTAACAAGGTGTTTCATACCCTTTTCGTCACCTCTAGGCGAAGTAAAAACCCCAAAAATTATATCAAGGGACGCTTTTGGTGCGTATGTAAGTGGTGTAATAATATTCTGGCGTTGTAGACAAATCTTCACAGTTGAAGAGCACAATAACAAAGTATGTCATAGTTTACATAAAAAGCACTGCAGCCACGTTTCGACTGCAGCTGATAACTAATGCAAGACTGAACGCCCCCCTTACTTGAGAACATGATTGTGCGCTTTAAATTTAGTCTTAAAGTACAAACCAAACCGAGAAAAATAAAGAAATAAACGGCTTTGTCACTTGAATTTAAATTCGCCATTTGACGGTGTTTTCTTGCAGAAAACAACACAGCTATACAGCAAATGGTAAATGGACGCGCCGGTAGAAGTATTGCTTTCGATATTTTGTGACGTCATAGCTACAAGTCGCATGAAAAGGCTTCCAAAAATACTCCGCGTCGGAAGATTTTTAAATTCTCTGCTCACGATCTTTCCCGTCCTGGTACCTAGGAGTTACCTTCCAGCTTTTCTCCGCCCACAAATAATAGCGTTCTATAGCGGCATCAGCAAATTACTCGTTCTTAGAACTACGAAGACGTGGCGCCAGCTTTGAAAGGAGACACTCGCCAAGAAATCAGATTACCATTCTAATGGGGAGTTTTAGCATCGACGACGGGCGATGGCAGCAAAAACGTCACTATTCAAATGAATTCTCGTTTTTCTAATTTTTTTCGCGTTTATTCCAAATGGCTGAAAATGTCAAAAGCAGGCGAATGTCCCCAAGTTGGTTTCTTGGGGACCGTACTTAAGTTTAGAAGGAGAAATAAAAATTCATAGTCGCTTGTTTACGTCCTCCATAAAAAGTGAAAATAGGCATTTTCACTTCGTAGTCGTGCAATGACAGCAAATAAAGGTACAAAAAAGCATGATGTACGTGCAAACTTGTTGTTTTGTTTGACAAATCTATTGTTTTTATGACGTTCTCGATGCCGCCGCCGTCGTCGTTGTAAAGCTCCCAATGGCTAGTTGCGTGGCCAAGAAAAGGTGTAGTAGCGAGTTCGACTGCGAAATCAAGCAAACTTACAGAGTCGTAATTTTCGTGGGTTTTTTGAACACGGGAATCTCTTCAAGCTTATTATAGTCCAGTTCCCTGTATGAAAATATTAAAAAGATAATGAGCCCAAGTTAATGAACCCAACAGGAGCTTTCCATGCTGTACAAGGTGGATCTAACTTTTGAATCAGTAGATAAAATCCTAAATTGTGACCTTTCTAATGATGAGCTTCCTATCACTTCTTTGCTGTGTTGTTGTGCCAGTTATTAAGGTGATGTTACACGGAACGATTCGCAACTACGATTTTTAGCGCAACACAACCTTGCAATATTGGAACAATGTTACAACCATTCGAAATAATGTGGCAACAAAAAGTGATGCAACGCTGTGTTGCGCTAAAAATCGTCGTTGCAAATCGTCTCGCGTGTAACATCACCTTTAATGATACTGTGGAAGGTGTGCCAAGCTTTTAAGTTAGCAAATGAAATCCATCCGAAAGAAAGTTGCTGAGTAGCGATGATGATTTTCCTTTGGTTCTGTATACATTTTTGTACGTAGTATATTATGACTCAATACGCAGTTATCCCGAGACACATCAATTGTGTTTAAACAGAAGCAACTATAAGCGGCTTCTAGCTTAAAACCGTAGCCTGTGTACAGACGTCCCCCCTTCCTCAGAAAAAATAGGGAGAAGAGTCTCTTCTCCCGATTTTTTCTGAGGGAGGAGAGACGTCTGTACACACGCTAAAAACCGAAGCGATCTTATACTTTTGTTTTATTCATCTGGGCATATGCACCACTTGCACGCCGACTGAGCTAAATTTTTAGATTTGCGTTTTTTGCCACTTCAGATAAAATGATGCAGAGGTTCTACCGCTAGTTCTTCGAATTGAAAAGGATGAGACAATCTCGGTACTTACAAGTTTACCAACTTAAGATCATCTAAAGCTCCATGAGCAATCTTTTCTAGACTGTTGTTTCCCAGTTTCCTTTGGAAGAAAGAAGGACAATAAATTATTATTTGGCGTGCTTGCCGGATCAGTACATCTATTCATCAAATTAAAAAATGTGGTATAAAGAATACAAACAATCTGAACTGTTACTGTACTCACAGCTGCGTCAAGGGCACCAACTCAGAAAATGAATTCTCCTCTATTTGTTTTAGTGAATTATGCCTTAAATTTCTGAAAAATAAAATAGCCATTTAAAAATACATAACCTCCGTATTTTTAAACTTTTGTTTTGGTAATGAATTGCGGGGGCTAGCATGTAGGAAGTCGAAGCAGGTTCCAATAGTGGGAAAGTATTTCACCCGTATGCATGCGGCACTACTGAGACATTTCGGTTGCGTTACTTATATTATGTCCCTGCTTTCCCCCATTTGATAATAAACTTTGCAAATGCGTTGCGAAATTAATGCATAAAATTGTATTAAATAAATAAAACCACTTTTAACTATAACTTACAAAATCTTTAGTTTCTTTAAACAAGTAAACATCCTCCATGATATAGCTTCTATTTTGTTGTGGGAGAGCAATCTACAAAGAAAATTACGGGACACACAGAACGTATTAGGTTAATCATTGGCGGATACAGGGGGAGGGTCCGGACCCCCCCCCCCCCCCTCCATCAGACCCCTGAAGAATAGAATATCCCAATTCCAGGCATATTAAAAAATGTTATTGTTTTTCGGTGCCTCCTGTGATCTGTTCGCCTCCGCTCGCAAAACAGTATTTCCCGCGCCAACGGCGACCAGCGTTCACAGATTGAGAAACACGTGGTTGTCTCCGTGAGAAGTAATTTGCCACAAAAAGTTCAACAGTCCTTTCTGAACCAAAGCTTGGACCCCCCCCTCCCAATCAAAAATTCCTGGATCTGTCCCTGTTAATCATTAAAGAAATATATTCTAATATCTTATAAGGCAAGAGAGAGTATAAAAAGTTTGTTGTTTTTGTTGCAGTTGTTACAACGTCTAAGCACCACGATTCACGCGTGGCCACGATAGTTGGGGCCAGGCGGCTTATTATAATTCTTTGTGCTATAAACTACATTCAAACAATACGAATCACTACATCTAGACTACAAGGATAAAGACCCGTACATGGTTGACACAGTACAACGCAACTTATAAATTGGAAACACTGAAAACACTATAGATCGTAACTGATCGGAATGTGGATGGGCGGGTGGGAAAGCTAAATATTAGAAAGTTACGTAAAACTAATTGGAATGTGTACTGCTTGCTGTAAAAACGATATGTGAAATAAGCACCGAGAACCTAGCTTGGCTTGAATGCCTTGATTTTACTTGACGGATATTGAGCAAGACCTAGTAGTTTTACTACAATTATACAATTCTATTGGCTGTATTTAATCCTATGACTTACATGTGGTCTAGCTAAACATAAATTATGATTTCTGCCTGGTCCCGAACAGTACCCCAAGCTAGAATCTCTTGGTGCTTAGATTCATATTAATAAGGATTAATATTAAACATAAAATTGCCAGATAAAGCCAAAGACGTGCAACAAACGATTTCAACTTGTACGCAACTCCGATAATGTCCTTTAGCGA